CAAATCCAAACTCTTCTATATGATTCCTGATTTTGTAATTATACATATACATATACAGCTTTAAAAACCAAAGCATTTCCGAGCACGGTTTTAGGCAGATTAATGGGATGCCTTGCATAAAGAACAGTCACAATAAATATTAAGCATTCCAAGTGCATCTTTCTGGAGCAATAGTAATGACCTAGAGGGAGATGTTACAGGCTATGGGTTAAGTAGTACGAGACTGCGAAATAAACACATCCATATGACAAAGTGTAATGGCTGTTGTCGCATCAACAAGTGACCAATGCAGTGGAAAAGTAATTTTGTCTGCGGAGAGCCAAGTTGCAGAGTTGGTGAGCTTGATGATGGAATGGAATGCTGCTCAGTATTTTGTAGTAAACTCCTAACATTGCAAGAGATGAGATGCACATATTCATATAAATGCATATTTTATAGAACGTTCTGTGATACATTAAGGGGAAATCAAGAGGGTTCAAGTTCATGGGTACATAGCCTTATAAAATGAACAGCAGCTCCGATCTCATGACATTAGCAGAAATATACCAAGCCATGTGTGAGGGGCATTCATGCTGTGTGAACATTTCAAACTTAGAAATTGATGACATTTCCAATAGTCCTTGCACACAACAATATAACTACATTACAGATAAAACTTTTAGTAAAGCATGTTTTATGAGAAGTGAGGTTACAGGGAACCAGATAGAGGGCCTTCTCGGTAGTGGCACCCGCCCTGTGGAATGCCCTCCCTTCAGATGTGAAGGAAATAAGCAGCTATCTTCTTTTTAAAAGACATCTGAAGGCAGCCCTGTTTAGGGAAGTTTTTAATATTTAATGCTGTATTGTTTTTAACACTTGATTGGAAGCCGCCCAGAGTGGCTGGGGAAACTCAGCCAGATGGGCGGGGTATAAAAAAAAATTATTATTATTATTATTATTATTATTATTATTATTATTATTATTTAGAGGCATAGCTTAGCCAATGTCTTGGATCAAGGCCAGATTCACATCTATTGTTGTAAAGGATGAAGTAATATATTTGTCTGGGAAAGTACTAACAAAGAACAGGGTGAAAGGTTACTACCAAGAAACTAATGGTGGGATTGGGAGCCAATCAGAATGGGGCATCATGAGTTGGAAGAGAACAGAAAAGAATAAAAGGCAAAGGAGAGGTAGATAGATCAGAGATGAGAACCATACCCAGGAGAGACAGGTAAGATCTGGAATGGAGGAGGATGTCATGTGCAATTATACTGAGGACTCATACAAATACACACCCAGAAACATGGGAGCCAATTCCCTGTGGTGCAGCCCCATGCTTCTCGGGGAGTGTGTATGAATTAAACAACCTCGCTGACAGGAAAATTGCATGGGCCTTTTCCACCTACTTGACACCCCTCACAGTGGAGATCTGATCAGGTGAGAAATACCTCCACCCACAACTCAATAGTGATGGATCACACCAGAAAAGAGTGAGTACCATGTAGCATCAAGCCCAAATCATTTTTCTGCCTAAGGAGGAACCCAAATGATCCCTCCACCCCAAAACTTTAAAGTTCTGTTGAACCATTGAGGCACCACTTCTTGCCTTTGTCCATCTCCCCATCATGGTGCTGCCTCAAGCAGGTCACGACCCTGGCCTGTAGGTGTCAGACGACTCTTTGTTGTATTTGCTGCAAGAGACTAGCATGGCTCTACATATGGAAATGGCTAAGGATTGGAAAAGATTTGTATTTCTATACCTCTACAGCAGGTGGAACAGAGTGACTTCTCTTACTCAGCAGATAACCTTATAGCAGAAAAAAGTGAGGCAAAACAGAAAAAGGACCAATGGAAGAATTGCTACTGAGATTAGCTATAAATATTTTACTACTTTGGTGGTGAAATGGATAAGAAACAATAATATTTATAATGCCACATAACCTGCTTTGATTTTTCTCCATTTCGTACAGTGATATATTAAAATCATAATGTACTGTACATGCTGGACTTTTCTCTGTGTGCATAATATGGGTTGACAGAACTGAAATATTGCTTTGTTATTGATTTAGCTTCAGTCCTGGGTTATATTATGGTTATGAATTGTTTTACGTTAAGGAAATAAAACAATCATAACTTTTGAGAACTGCTTTGAACTTTTACATTCCCCCACTGCTTTGAGCTTCCACCATTTGCCAATGGTAGAACTCTACCAAAGGTAGAATTGGAATATGAAAAATAAGACAATCAAAACATTGGTGACCTAGGCCTTCAAGCTGGACCACAATTCTCAGATGAGCCAATCTTGTTGCCCACCTTTCTGCTCAAAGTCCAATGGCACATCTAGCAGTGACCTGAACAGTGAATGTTAGTGATAAGTGATTAGATGCTTATTTTCTTTTTAAATTGTCCAGTGGACCTCCTGATTATCCTAATTTTCTTTGTGGCTGTGAACATGGAAATTCCTTATAGCAATCTTGGCTAAATATCCAGAGATGAATCTTTCCTTCTGCATCCCAGTATACCTCTGAATATGCTAAAGGAGGAGGGACAACTACAGTATTAGATGAGGGTTATTTACCTCAAGTTATGGGCTACTTGATGCATCTGGTTGCCATTGTGGAAAGCAGAATGTTGGACTTGATGGGCCTTTGGCTTGACCCAGTCTGGTTGCTCTGATATTCAAAGGACTCACCTCTTTAAATAAAATATTGTTTATTTCTGGTTTCTTGAGTTCAGATTTTAAAAACTAAGGTGGGAACATGCCTCATTGCTTCAAGAACTCAAGCAAACTCCACTGTCCCGAAGTAGCAATATTTTTTTATTTTGCATACTATACAACTGACAGAAAATAACACATTTGAACTCCACTTTTTGGACAGAAGAGTCTTCTGGAGTGGTGTACAAATATCAGTGATAAGACAAATCATAATCAGGAATAAAACCTTAAACATTTTAAACCATCACTTCTCCACACATTTCTCACCATTGCCACTTTGTGCAAAATTAAAAAACATACTTTAATATGCAAAGCCTAACCATATTCAGAGTATGCTTAGCCAAACACTTTTCTTTGTTTATGCAGAATAATATAAATCACTACCTATCCTCAAACCTCCAAACTTTATCCCCATTTATTCGATTGCTTCAGTGGAGAGAGGAGAGATTTCCCCAAACATTTGGGGGTAAGCAAGGCTGTAATATACACTATTAATTACAAATGTGCATATATTTCTCTCATCTGACCAGGCAGAAAGTGCACTAAAGGGAAGGGGGAAATATCTGAGGGATTCCTGTCTCCTGATGTTGAAACAACTCACTCATCAGTCACAGCTCTGGCTTCACTCATTAGCTAAAATCACTGGAAGGTGGGGGCAGCCAGGCTTGTGCATCAGCCTCCACATTTGGCTTCCTAATTTCTTGACTAACTTTTTTTTTTTAAAATAAAAGCTCAGAGTCTGGCCCCATTGCAGACATGGGCCCTAGTACAGATGCTCAAATTGCACCATTATAAATCTGATTATGGCTCCCCTCCCCCGATGCTGCCATGAGATACGAGGAACAATGGGAAGTATTGCTCTCACAATCTTTAGTATCCCTGGAGAATATTTAGCAAAATAATCTGGATCACCAGAGGGAAATATGTAAGTTTGTGTGCTTGCTTATTATAAGGCCAAGTACTTTTTTTGCACCAGAAAACTGAGGGCAATTTGAAAGGCATTCTTAGAACAAAGGGGGGGGGGCTTTCTTTGTTGTTACTGAGTTAGCTTTCTATTCTTTTTTCACGGCTCACTCTAGGTTAATTCATTCAACAAACTTGAAAGGAAGAGTTGCCCTCCCTACTCTTGCCATTTGTGGAGAGCAGGGCAGTGTTACCTTTTCTGCACTCTTTTCTTTCTGCATAGTTGCTATGGTTGCTTTGAAAGATAAACTGAGAAAAACAGTTTGGTAATTTTCAAACTGTTGGTTTGCAAGATTCAAGATTCTAGTCTTCAAAAGAAGAGATCTTTTTTTGTTTGTTGGTGGGTTAATGAAGTGCTACTTTGATTGAAGAGTTATTTAGCACTGAGCAGCTAAGTCTGAGCCAATTCTTGGCCCTGATCCATGGCATGGCATGATTGATTAATGAAGTAGCATTTTTTAAAGACAGCAAAAGATCAGCTTGGCACTTTTTCTGGAACTGGACGGACAGTTACAACTATTGTGCCCTGAGGAGCATTAGGTTCAGAATGCAGGTTAGTAATGAGGCACACCAGCTAATAGTAAATGAAATGACGTTTCAGGGAAAACGCAGTATACCTGCTTCACACCATAGTCACATGGATGGCCCTGGAAATTCCATTTGTTGTGACTGCTTCTCCATGCAGTTGTATTTGGAGTGGCTCAGCGACCACTAGAGATGAGAAGAAATTTGATGCACTTCACATTTAAAGGTGAATCTACCTAATTTGCCTTTCCAAAGCGAAACATGGACTGCAGTGCAGGCCATCCTTTGAAAATTAGAACTTTTCTGAATTTTTCAATGCAGTTCTCCAGCAAAGGAATATGTACAAATTAGATGAATATACATGATAAACTTTGCAGGAAAAAAATGCTTGTTAGTGAAAATAAGGTACAAAAAGACATTATATTATTTACAAATTGCTTTGTAAATACATGTATATTAGAGGGAATTGCTCAAAAATGTGTAGATCGGGCATAGGCAAACTTGGCCCTCCAGATGTTTTGGGACTACAGCTCCCATCATCCCTAGCTAACAGGACCAGTGGTCAGGGATGGTGGGAATTGTAGTCCCAAAACACCTGGAGGGCCGATTTTGCCTATGCCTGGTGTTGATCAAGAAACAAATTCACTAAAAGCTGATGAAATTTCATACTTTAGAGGCTATTGCCAGCATGCCACATACAGAAAGCAGACAAGATGCAATACTACACCAGGATGCCTGCAGAGGAACTATATTGGACCACAAACCTATAACTCTACTGTACTGTATATGCAGGCAATGATTATCCTCCTCAGCTGAAAACTGTGCTATGCTGTGCACTATATAAGCCACAAACAGATCACAAGCCACCCTTGACAGGTTGATAAGGTACCAGCAGTAGCTTCAATAAATAGACTTTATTAGTTCTACACTTGATCTTAGCCAAAAGGCCGAGAAGCGATTTCGTGGGTTGACTTTATTAGTTTGAAGATAGCCCTGATTCCTTTTTAGGTCTTTTGCTGAGGTTATAAACTATATTTGGTGATTTATAACAGTAATTACATTTTAAGTAAATAGCTGCCTTAGATATGTAGAAAAATCACTTATCCCTTGTAGAAAAATCACTTATCCCTTGCAGTTCAACTATTAATTTTATCTTAATGATACTTGGTGTAAGTACACATTATTCAGATTTTTTTCTTCCCTCAAGTTAGGAAAAACAAACATAGTATTTCGTTATGTTTTATTTCCTTTCAAATTGGAATAGCATGATAAATCCAATAAATATTAAACTTTATTCAATTTAATTTGATCAACACTAAGTATAGGTGGACCTATCCCAATCTGTACCATCCTGTTTCACTAAGTTGATGCCTTAAAGTATGACCCATCCTGTTTCTGTGCAGACATTTTAGGATAAACTAGAGAAATCCTAAAAAAACCAAACCTCACAGAAACCCCACAAATCAGAACTGAGAAGTACTTATGCAGTGTATCAAGGGCTGTTCCGTATTTTTCTCGCTTTACAATGTAAAGCTGGTTGGAGCAGCTTCAGGTCATGGCACCTCCACTGCACTTCTTAAAATGGTGCCGCAAACAACCATACCTTGCTTCCTGGGTAATTCTATGAACAAAGGACCAGTGTACATCCAAAAAAAGACTGCCACCATGCCAACATGGCGGTGGCCATTTTGTTTTTGCGTACATGGCCCTTTGTTCATAGAATTACCCAGAAAGTAACGTTCCATCTTGCTCCATTTTACATAGTATCTTTATCTTGCACAAAAGAGGCACCATGCTTTGAAGCTGCTCCAACCAGCTCTACACAGTCCAAAGTGAGGGGAGGGAAAAAGACCTAACAGCTTTTGGTACACCTCTTAAGTACCATGGTTGAACAAGAACCCAGCAAGGTGTGTAGATCTGCCTACTACTAAACTGCAGGTCTACGTTCAGCTCTGAGGAGCGGTCCAATGTGACAAAAGAGAGGCGTTCATAGCAAATGCAGACTGTGCCAGGAATTCTCTAACATCTCAAATCTACATTTCATATGAACAGGGAAGCCGGCAAACGTAAGAACAGCCAACTGAATCAGGCCAACAACCCATCTATTTCAGCATCAGCCAGATACCTGTGGGAAGCGCACAAGCAGGACCTGAGTGCACCAGCATTCTGCCTACCTGGCATTCCCAGCAACAGGTATTCAGAAAGTGAAGGTAGAACATAACCATCATGGCTAGTGGCCATTGATAGTCTTATCCTCCATGCATTTCTCCAATCCTCCTGTAAAGCCATCCAAGTTGGTGGCCATCAGTCCCTCCTGGGGAAGCATGTTCCATATTTGAAGGCTTGTTGTGTGAAGAAGTACTTGATTTGTTCCAACAGGCATTGGGGAACTGACTGCTTTTAATGAAAAGGGCTGTTGCCACCCTGGTTTTATTGTAATTATCTGTATGTTTTAGGGTTATGAGAAATAGAGAAAAACTTTCCTCTATTACTTTCTCCATGCCATGCATAAATTTATAAACTTCTAACATATCACCTCTTTTTTCACCTTTTCTCTAAATTAAGTAGTTTAGAGGGAAAGACCCTCTCAAAGAACTCTGCTGGCTCTGCTTCAGCAAGGCTGATTCTCCTATATGCTCAGCTATTTTATCTCTAATAATATTTTCTATCAATTTTTGTTGGGACAGATGTTCAGCTCACTGGCCTGAGATTTTCAGGATCCCACCTGGATCTCTCCCCCCCCTTTTAAAATGGTGCTACATTGGCTACTTTCCAGTCTTCAGGTATGGAGGCAGGTTACATACATTTGTTAGAAGACGATCAATTTCATATCTGAGTTCTTTGAGAACTCTCAAGTGGCTGCCATCTGGACCTGGCAAATTGTCAGGTTTTTTGTTTTGTTTTGTTTTGTTTTGTCTATTAGGCCTAAAACATCATCTCTCATCACCACTATCTGTCTCTATTCCTCAGACTCCTTTCCTGCTAGGGAAAGGTGATGCTCCTTGATTCCACTTTGACCCCAGGCCTGCCAAATAATAATAATAATAATAATAATAATAATAATAATAATAATAATAATTTTTATTTATACCCCACCCTCCCCAGCCAAGGCTCCTCAGGGCGGCTAACAAGCAATAATAAAAACAAGTTGAATGAATACAACTTAAAAACAAGATTAAAATACAACAACAAAATCAGGAAGAACGGGTGAATGTGCAGGCAGTTCATCTGTACACAGCAGTTTCAAGCCAAGGACAGCAAAGGTAGAGATTTTGCTCCTTACTGCTCTGTGTGGCCCCTGTTTCAAGTTATAGCCCCCCCCATCTGCTTTTACAATCATTATCTCAATCCCATTTTGAAGAACAGATAGAGTATTGTCATAATACAGCAATGGAAGTGAGATTGAAGAGTGGCATCTTGCCCTGGGTCAAGTGAAGAATTCATGGATGAGTTGGTACATAACACCAAGACACCCAGATCTAAGTTCGAAGGATCATGAGCACAACTTTCAAACTCCTTTCATCGAAAGGAATGACTTAACCAGTGAAATCACCATTAGGTAAACTGCATGAGGGGGGAAAAATAACAACACTGGAAACCATTAGAATGGCACTGCAGATAACAGCTAAGGCAGTTCTGAACACATTGTGATATTCATAGGCTTCTTTTCTTTCAATTGCAAAGAAGTAGAGTGGGTAGCATAAAGCTAAGAGCCTGTTTTGTATAGCTCATATTTTGCCAAATAAGAAGACACATATCAGAGTGTTTTCACAGGCAAGTTCAAATGTAAAAAGAAAGGTTTAATAAACAAAAGGATTGCTCCTTCTCTCCCAAGGGCAAAAAGCAATGAATAAAACATTTGGCAGGAGTACCAGAGCTTGGTGCCTTATATATTTTGCCTGTGTGTGTAGCAATATTAACCCAGAGAGAAAAGGGTTTTGTCTCTATCCAGTGTTCAACCTGCTTTCTTTTATTAAAGCTCCTAGGAACGATATCATGATAGCCACACAGTTCATATGGTGTTCAACGTTATGACATTCAATCCTTGAGCTTGCTCTTTGAAGCTGCAGCCTTCCACTATCAATGAAGTATATGACACTGTGTATTTAACCAGTACACTTAGCTAGTTCTGGTTAGGGGCAGCTAATTCATTATGAACATCGGGAGCATCCTTGTTGTATCACAATGGCAGCAGCTCTCCATTGATATGTGGCATATGGGTCTGTTGCCAAAAGCCTCAGGTCACTAGCACAAGCATTGCAGATTGAAAGGGGTGGATGGAGAGGTTAAATACAAGTAGCCAATGTTAAGCCTTGGTGCCTAATATTATTCTCCCCCCCCCCCGCTTTACACTGATGATCCTTCACATTACAGCTGCAGTTTATTTTGCAGGAAACTGTATGTCTTATCACATCCAAATCCATATGAATCAAGCCCACGAAAAGTACCACGAGAGAAGTGATCATACTAAACACCATGAGGAAATTATAATGCAACAAAAGTTTTCAGCTTTTGAAGACTGAATCTGGGGTATTTGAAGCTGTAAGACACATACAAACCCATACACAGACGAAAAACAAGATTTTGTCATAGCACACTAAAGCTATGCACGTTAGTCAAAAGGCTGAAGAAGAGAATTATATGTGGCCTTTTTTAAAGCTTTCAAATACCATTTAAACATTATAGGAGAATATCTCTGGAGGCTATCAGATTTTAGCTTGTCTCTGAGGATTTATTTGATACATGGTCAAAGAAGCTTGGTAGTGAGGCAAGCTTTCAATTTTAAGGATAGCAGACCATGGCCCAAAGACTGGGCAAGATTTATGTACAGTGACAAGAGGGAAAACCATTCAAGAAACGTTTGGCTTGAGGCATCTTGGATCCATTTCCTTCAGCCTGAGAGAGGTGGTGCTTACTTTAAATAGCTGGCATGGCACTATGTATCAAGCTGTGGTGAGGAAGGTCTACCATACAGCAGTGTGCTATTTGCATGTCATTGGTCTCCCCTCTCCCATTGGTACAATTTGTACCTGTGCTTTCTGGTAATGTCTGTTCTCCAGAACTGGTTCCTTTAAGTAGCCAGTGGTAGCCAGGGAGAAATGTTTCATCAGGATTTCACAGCAAACACTGAAATGATGGTGGTGGACACTAATGTGGATACTTAAAGTCTGAGTGAAGCCTGAAAGTTGTAGTCACACATAACATGATGGATGGAATTTCTTTCCGCTGAACAAATGGTCTATATCAAGAGCAAATGGTCTCTTGAAATTCTCTACTCTATTTTTAGGCAGAGAAATGGGGAAGGAGCATTTCACCAAATTTCTCTAGGAGAATGAAATTTTCTAATAGTTTCTTGGGGATGGGGCTCACCATCTGAGGTGGCCATAGCACAGCTTCTTTCTTTTTGTGAAGTGTTTCTCCCTCACCACCACCACCACAAGTGGCTGTAGCAGCACCAACAGCAACATCTGTGTTATAGCCTGGCTACCATTTTGTATCCTCCACAGCATCATTCTGGGGCATTGTGGGGGAAAGTGGAGGCCGCCACAACAAGTGGCTGAGGATATTTGGATATATTTTTTTGCAGGGTGGCCTCCTTTTTCTAGAAAACAAGTGTCAGAAATGTTCTGAGAAAAGTATTTTCTGGGAAATTCATCTCCGCTCTAGTCTCCACTGTCAACTCTGAAATATAGGTAAGAATTTGCTTAGATAAAATCATAGAATTGTAGACTGCCCTCCCAGATTGTGCCCCATGAACACTAAACAGTGCTGCACAGGTAGGAGGTAGCGTATACCTCCCAGAATACCACACACACTTATTTAGTTAGTTATTTAGAATACTGACAGTATATCATGCTTTAGAGCCCTGAAAGCAACTTACCCATAATGACCACAGTAAAAAGGGTCAAGTCTAGTCTCAGGATCAGAAATGTCCCTATGGTGACAGGATTGTTTAGAT